GCCACACAGATGTAGGCCTGCCTTTATGTTGCTCACATCTAGCAGGGGAGACGCCACAGTGCAGATGACCCTATTCAAATGTAATACACTATAAAGAACGTGGCTAGGTTGCTATGAGAGAATGGAAATGGTGCTTTTAGATCTGTTTTTTAGGGATCAGAGAAGGATTTCTTTTTTTTTGAGACAGAGTCTCACTTTGTTGCCCTTGGTAGAGAGCCGTGATGTCACAGCTCACAGCAACCTCCAACTCTTGGGCTTAAGCAATTCTCTTGCCTTAGCCTTCTGAGGAGCTGGGACTACAGGCACCCGCCACAGTGCCCGGTTATTTTTTTTTTGCAATTCTCATTGCTGTTTTAGCTGGCCAGGGCAGGTTCAAACCCGCCACCCAAAGAAGGCTTCCTTGAAAGTAGAGACAATTGAAATTCAAGTAGCAGTAGAAAGTAGGTAGCAAAAGTGATAGGGTCTGAAGTAGGGAAGAGCATTCCAGGTTGAGGGAACAGCATAAACGAAGCTCTGAGGTTGTCATGGTCTGTTAAAAAAGAGAAGCAATAAAAGGTCAACATGGTTATACTGAGCGTGCACAGGGAAGAGAGGCCAAGGGAAGGCTAGGGCCCAGCCAGGCCTCATTAAGAAGCTTGGGAATGGTTTGGCGCCTGTGGCTCAAGTGGCTAAGGCGCCAGCCACATAGGGTTCGAATCTAGTCCAGGCCCACCAAACAACAATGATGGCAGCAACCAAAAATAGCTGGGCGTTATGGCAGATGCCTGTGGTCCCAGCTACTTGGGAGGCTGAGGCAGGAGACTCGCTTGAGCCCAGGAGTTGGAGGTTGCTGTGAGCTGTGATGCCACGGCACTCTACCCAGGGGGACAGCCTGAGGCTCTGTCTCAAAAAAAAAAAAGAAGCTTGGGAAGACTCTTTAAGAGGGTGGCCTTCCTGCAAGTTATGCCTGAGGAGAGGAACCTGGAGCAGAGTCCCACAAGCTGGGGCCTGGGCTCCCCTGCCACTGCTATGTGTAGGTGGTGGTATAGGATGGCTAGGCTTAGGCTAGGCTCCTTGGCACAGCAGCAGCCAAAGTGGACGAGGTGGGGTGGGAGGAGTGAGGAACCCTGTTATCTGATGAGCTCAGTACCTGCTCTCGCCCTGCAGATACAGCCTGCAAGATGGTCCGCTGGCTGTCTGCCAAGCTTGGCCCCACAGTGGCCTCTCGCCATGTGGCCCGGAACCTCCTCCGCCTGCTGACTTCTTGTTATGTTGGTAAGGCCCGTGATCAGTGCTAGAGTTAGCTTCCTTCTGGACCCTCTCCCCATCTTCAGCCCTCTCTAGGAGTTCCTTCCCACCCCCACTTCAAACCTCCTTCCGGCCTGGTCCTGGGTCCTAGTTTATAAGCTTCTTCCTTCCTTGGGAAGGGGCTGGGCGGATTCTGAGCTAGAGTGAGCTAGAAGTAGCTTCCACAGTCCAGCTGCCTGTGGAAGGGCAAGCTGCCTCTTGTTCTTGCTTGCTACTCAAGGAAAGTGACCTTTCCTTGACAGGGCCCACTCGGCAGCAGTTCACAGTGAGCAGTGGCGAGAGTCCCCCGTTGAGTGCTGGCAACATCTACCAGAAGAGGCCGGTCCTGGGTGACATAGTGTCAGGCCCCGTGCTCAGCTGCCTTCTCCACATTGCCCACCTGTATGGAGAGCCTGTTCTTACCTACCAGTACCTGCCCTACATCAGCTACCTGGTCAGTCACTGGTTTGGTGGGCCTGAGGGTGGGGAGGCTAAGGGCCAGCCCAGTGTCTTTGGGGTACCAGGGCTTCCATGGGCTAGCCTGGCACTGATGTACCTTGTGGCCCCAGGTGGCCCCAGGTAGCACCTCAGGCCCCAGCCGACTGAACAGCCGTAAGGAGGCAGGGTTGTTGGCTGCGGTGACCCTGACTCAGAAGATCATCGTGTACCTCTCAGACACCACGCTCATGGACATCCTGCCCCGGATCAGCCACGAGGTCTTGCTGCCTGTGCTTGGCTTCCTCACATCCCTTGTCACAGGGTAGGCCCCTATCCCTTCACCAGAGTGGGCCCAGCTCAGCTGAGGGGCTGCAGAGCTTAGGGAAGAGGAAGCAACACAGGGTTGGGGAACAAGAGTCCTGGTTCTGGGGGTAGTGCCAGTGGCTCAAAGGGGTAGGGCGCTGGCCCATATGCCAGAGGTGGTGGGTTCAAACCCAGCCCCGGCTAAAAACTGGAAAAAAAAAAAAAAAGAGTCCTGGTTCTGAGCAGGCCAGGGTCTCAGTGTCCTCATCTGGTTTGGATCAGTTTGCCTTAGAGCTCCCTTTTGTTTAAGACTTTGAGTAGATTCTGATTGAGTCCTACAGAGTAGGGGCCAGGACTCATGAACTCTGTTTCTAGATTCCCAAGTGGGGCCCAGGCCCGGACTGTCCTGTGTGTGAAGACCATCAGCCTTATCGCCCTCATCTGCCTGCGCATTGGACAGGAAATGGTCCAGCAGCACCTGAGTGAGCCTGTGGCCACCTTCTTTCAAGTCTTCTCTCAGCTATATGAGCTTCGGCACCAGGTTGGCAGACCTGCCTGGCTGGGCTGGGCCAGGGTGGAAGCTGTGTACTCGGCTGACTCCCTGGGCCTCCTGCCAACAGGATCTGAAGTTGGATCCCGCAGACCGCAGTGAGGGCCTGCTGCCAGAGGTGGCCTTCTCTGATGGGCAGCAGCGGCCAGTGGACCCTACCCTGCTGGATGAGCTGCAGAAGGTGTTCACCTTGGAGATGGCATACACAATCTACGTGCCTTTCTCCTGCCTGTTGGGTACTGCCCCATCTCATTCCCTTGCACAGCTTTTGTAGCTGTCTCCTCCCTCAAGAGGAACCATTCTCTACCCTTCCCCCAGAGTCAGCAGTGGGTTTTAAGCACAGTTTTTTTGGTCAGAGCAAAGGGCTTTGGCCTCAGACCCATATAAATAGGGACTGAGCATTAGCCAGCAAGAGGGGTGCAGGAGCTGGCCAGCTGTGTCCATGGGAAGGGCAGGGGAGTCAGGTTGACGTACAGTGGTCTCCAGGAGCCATCTGAGAGGAAACGAGTGTGGCCTGCTCTTTATGTAGCTTCCCCCATGCACTACTCACTGTGCTAAGCATATCCAGGTGTCATCTCCCTGAATAGGATGCACAGCCCTGTGATTAGATGTATTGTCATCCCTCCACTGAAATCTAAGCTCTGAGAGGGCAGGTCATCGTCTGTCTTGTTCACTATTCTATTTCTGATGCTCAGCAGGGTGTCTGGCACACATAGAAGAAACTCATGTGTGCATACTGACTGAACGAGAGCACATTTTTTTACTGGAGAGGAAACTGAGGCTCAGAGATGAAGAGTTACTTGCCCAGTGTTGCACAGCCAATACCTTCCCCCTCTTCTGTGGTTCCCAAGCCTTTGGATGGGTGGTAACAGCCACCTGCCATCTTCCCTGATCTTTGGACCTCTCCCACTCCCATCCAGGCGACATCATCCGGAAAATCATCCCCAACCACGAGCTGGTTGGGGAGCTGGCGGGGCTGTATTTGGAAAGCATCAGCCCGAGCAGTTGCAATCCTGCCAGCATGGAGCCCGCTGTGCCCAGCTCCAGCCCTGAGTGGGACTCTCAGGGTGGAAGCTGCCCCCAGGATGACGGCCACTCAGGGACCTTTGGGAGTGTCCTGGTGGGGAATCGCATACAGATCCCCGGTGACTCTCATTCAGAGAACCCCGGGCCACTGGGTTCCATCTCAGGGGTGGGTGGTGGAGGCCTTGGCAGCGGAAGTGAGGACAACGCCCTGAAGCGGGAGCTGCCACGGAGCGCCCATGGGCTGAGCGGGAACTGGCTGGCGTATTGGCAGTATGAGATTGGTGTGAGCCAGCAGGACGCCCACTTTCACTTCCACCAAATCCGCCTGCAGAGCTTCCCAGGCCACTCAGGGGCTGTCAAGTGTGTGGCACCCCTGAGCAGTGAGGACTTCTTCCTGAGTGGCAGCAAGGATCGTACTGTGCGCCTCTGGCCACTGTACAATTATGGGGATGGTACCAGTGAGACAGCCCCACGTCTTGTCTATGCCCAACACCGTAAGAGTGTCTTCTATGTGGGCCAGCTTGAGGCCCCACAGCATGTGGTGAGCTGTGATGGGGCTGTGCACGTCTGGGACCCCTTCACAGGTGAGCGGGCCCAGGTGAGGCCTGTTCTGTTGTTGCTCTCCTGTGCCACCAGGCCTCTGGAAAAGGAACCTGAGGGTGGGGGTGTAATGATTTGTAGTTTGGGGAGACCCAGTGAGGCTGCACAGAGGAGCAATTAGGGCTTAGAATCTTTTTTTTTTTTT